CCTTAAATCAATCTTAAATGTCAGAATGGACTCTTCTGTCTGCGGCTTGAAAATAACTTGAGGGATGAGGTTATAGGCTGGTTATTATTGTTTGCCTTAAATGCATGTAAAGAGTGACAGATGTAATCACAATTTTTATGTAGTCCATTACTAAAATAACTTTAGTGTTAATTAAGGAAGCTCTAGGGATGCCTAGGTGGCTCAGTGGTTGAGCATCTGCCTTCCTCTCAGGGCGTGATCCTGGATCTGGGGATCAAGTCCCACATCGGGCTCCGTGTGAGGAGTCTGCTTCTCCCTCTGCCTGTGTCTCTGCCTCTCTCTCTGTGTTTCTCATGAATATATAAATTTAAAAGATTTTTTTAAATTTATTTTGAAAATTAAGGAAACTCTAGTTTAAGTGTGCTTTGTATAAACTGAGGCAACTGCGACCTAAGCCATTGTTTGTAGAGATAGAGCAATGAAAATAAAACTAAAATTTTGATGAATATATAAAAATTAAGAGGATCTGACAAATAGTTATGTAACTTAATACCTGTATGTTCATTTTTTCAGATTTATTAGATCATGTGGCATTTTTTCATGATAGTTTTGGTTAATATATTGCAATAAAAACTTTTAACTTGGGATGCCTGGGTGCCTCAGTGGTTGACAGTCTGCCTTTGGCTCAGGGCATGATCCTGGAGTCCCAGGATCGAGTCCCACATCAGGCTTCCTGCATGGAGCCTGCTTCTCCCTCTGCCTATGTCCCTGCCCCTCTCTGTGTGTGTATCTCTCATGAATAAATAAATAAAATATTTAGGAAAAAAAAACTTTTAACTTCTCTGTTTTCAGCTATTTTCCTGGTCTCTTACTAGAAACTACACCAAGACATATCCCACCCCACCAAAAACTATTCAAAGCATGTAACACTATAGTCCCTTGATAGTATTAATCGTAGCATTAGCCCAAGATAACTGAAAATTGCGCATCACTAAATGTAAATGTATGGGTGCCTGGATGGCCCAGTTGGTTGAGTGCCTTTGGCTCAGGTCATCATCCTAGGGTCATGGGATCGAGGCCCACATCAGGTTCCCTGCTCAGAAGAGAGCCTGCTTCTCCCTCTCCCACTCCAACTGCTTGTGCTCCCCCTATCAAATAAATAAACTATTTTTCATAGATAGATAGATAAATGTGAATGTGTAATGGAATATTCTCTATCAGCTAGAGTGGAGCTCTTAGTGGACTTAACAATAACAATGGCAGTCATTTAATTTTTCAGATTATTTTGCAGGGAGTCTAGAATGATTGTTGCTAGTCCCTTCCTTACTCCCCTCAACCACAGCAACAAAAAAGTGGAACCTTTCTGACATTTGGGTTTTAGTTCTTCATTTTCTCTTTCAATAATGGCCCCAGAATGGAGCCCAAGAATGATTTGAGGGAAACTGTAAGCCAAATTTCTGCTCAACTCAAGTATGAAGTTACAAGTCTGAAGAAAGAACAAGGCACATATATTGGAATCCAATTCTTAGAGAAAAAGAATTTTCAAGTCATTTCTTGTATACCCTAGCTATTCATTTCATTTCAGTCATTTCAGCTTTTATAAATAAAAGGGTTTTCTTAATCTTAAAAAAATATAATGCCTGGACTCTGGCTATTCTTCAGAGTTTATTTTTATTTATTTTTTTTATTTATTCATGAGAGACACAGAGAGAGAGGCAGACATAGGCAGAGGGAGAAGCAGGCTCCTCATGGGGAGCCTGATGTGTGGGACGAGATCCCTGGACCCTGGGATCATGCATGACCTGAGCCAAAGGCAGATGCTCAACAACTGAGCCACCCAGACATCCTTTTCCTTGGAATTTATTTATTTATTTATTTATTTATTTATTTATTTATTTATTTATTTATTTATATTTTTATTTTATTCCTTGGGAGTTTAAAACAATGACATAGGGTTGTGGGGTTTTGGGGGGGTTGTTTTTTTGTTTTTTGAAGATTTTACCTATTTATTTGAGAGAGAGAGCTTGAGCACAAGCAGGGAGAGTGGTAGAGGGAGAGGTAGAAGCAGGCTCATGCTGGGTAGGGAGCCCTCCAGCTCAAAAGCAGATGTTTAGCCAACTGAGCCACCCAGGCACCCTGGGTATTGTTATTAAGAGTGAATATGAAAAAAAAAAAGTGAATATGAGAGACGCCTGAGTGGCTCAGGGATTTAGCGCCTGCCCTCAGCCCAGGGCATGATTCTGGAGTCCCAAGATTGAGTCCCACATCGGGCGGGCTCCCTGCATGGAGCCTGCTTCTGTCTCTACTTATGTCTCTGCCTCTCAATCTTTCTCTCTGTGTCTCTCATGAATAAGTAAATATTTTTTTTAAAAAAAGAGTGAATATTAATCAATATCCGAAGCAAGGTTCTTATAACTCTCATCTTCAAAGCCCATTTTTTTACACATGTATTTTACTGGAATTCTTTTTTTATGTTCACTTGGTTTGTTTCAGGTGTAAATGGATGAGCTACTTGCATTCCTTTATGCATTATGTAAGGAAAAGGAAATTTACCCAAGGAAAATTTCTATTTTAGAGAGGAAGTTTGGGAGAGTCTGGCTGGCCCAGTCAGAGGAGTGTTTGACTCTTGATCTTAGTGTCGTGAGCTTGAGCCCCAAGTTGGGTATAGAGATTACTTTAATTAATTAAAGAACGTTTGTCTTGTTGCCCTGTTGTAGTCAGAATCATTACTGATAAACAGCAACATAGCTCAGACACAGCTCTTCTGGTTTACACCAGAATGGGTAGTAATGTAAAGGCACTTAGGGCAGCCCAGGTGGCTCAGCGGTTTAGCGCCGCCTTCAGCCCAGGGCCTGGTCCTGGAGACCCAGGATCAAGTCCCACATCGGGCTCCCTGCATGGAGCCTGCTTCTTCCTCTGCCTCTCTCTTTCTCTCTGCCCCCCCCCCCCATCTCTCATGAGTAAATAAATAAAATCTTAAAAAAAAAAAAAAGCCAATGAGAGAGACTGAGGCTGTAGGTTAAGAGACTTTGCCCTCTTCCATCTTTCATGTCTGTCATATGGGTCTTAGGGTCTGGTCAGTGCAGCCATTGCCTCTACTACATGTGTCTATTCAGCCTTTTTTTCCATATCCTGCAGTATATATGAAAGGAGCTTTTTGTACAGCTTCACCCCACACTGATCTCCTTTCTTTCTCCAATTCTTTGGACTGTGTCTTCTGTACCAAAAAATTTAGTATTGATTTGTAAATTCTTTTTTTCACAGATCCGTGTGTATATGTGTGTGTGTGTGTGTGTACGTGCACGCATGCCTATGTGTTTTGAATCTCATAAAGTTTTTTTTTTTAATTTATTTATGATAGTCACAGAGAGAGAGAGGCAGAGACACAGGCAGAGGGAGAAGCAGGCTCCATGCACCAGAAGCCCGATGTGGGATTCGATCCCGGGTCTCCAGGATCGCGCCCTGGGCCAAAGGCAGGCGCCAAACCGCTGCGCCACCCAGGGATCCCTCATAAAGTTTTTAAGTTCCTTGTGGGCATGAACTATTTCTTGCAATTTTTTTATTTTGTTTTCCCTTAACATTTTTTTTAAATATTTATTTATTATTTATGATAGAGAGAGAGAGAGAGAGAGAGAGAGAGGCAGAGAGAGGCAGAGACACAGGAGGAGGGAGAAGCAGGCTCCATGCCAAGAGCCCGACACAGGACTCGATCCCGGGACTCCAGGATCACACCCTGGGCCAAAGGCAGGCGCTAAACCACTGAGCCACCCAGGGATCCCCTGTTTTCCCTTAACATTGATTACAATGTCAGGCACAAAATAAGGACTCCATTAAGTATTTGGTGGTTGATAGTTAACAGGATCAAAGAAAAGTGTCAGCCAGGAGTTATGTATGTGTTAGCTTCTGGTAAAGATAGTAGCAAAAAAATTCTCTTCCTATGCTCCTCTGCTCTTATTACAGAAAGCAGTAACTGGATTGTTCTAGAAAAGAGGAGGTGAAGTTAGCACTTAAAGGGAGAGCATTAGGTGCTGTTGCAAATACCTATTGACATACCTTTTGCTAGCCTCAGGTTGGGCTCTTCTACCTTTTAGCCCTATTATGGCAGATGAGAACATTTAAAAGATACAGAAAATAGAGATGTTTCCTAAATTGCCTCAAGTTACCATTTAAAAAAAAAAAAAAACGCCTGCAAGCATTTCTAAAACGGGATCTTGGTAGCTGGTTGCCAAACCGGTTTAACAGCACTGCCTCCACATACTCTGGGTGAGAGGGAGCTCCGAGCACATAAACTTATCAAAGATCACTATCCCAGTCATTTCAGAACAAGTTGTTTAGTAATGTACTGTAGTTTCTGTGCAAACCATCTACCATAAACCACGAAGTGATTCAAAGTTCATAGTTCCTCCTTTGTTCCTTTGTTAATCACTGACTTCTGACTAGTGGGAGGTGCCTCCCAAATTTGCTAATGCATTCTTTTTGGATAAGGATGACGCACAGATTGTCCTAATAAGGACTTAGATTGAGAAAGGACCGCCCCCCTCTGAGAAGATGGGACAAGTCAGAGAGAGGGCGGGCAGTTTCTTTTTCAACTGGGGATGACACAAGCATAAGTCATTTCCTTATTAATCGGTTCAAACCAGTTCTTACAGGAACTGGTGGTGATAAATGTGGGACTTCTCAGAAGTCATTCATTTGATTCTTTGTGCCACCCCAGTGTGTAGCATCAGCTTAGCTGGCCTTACTCTGAGGATGAACTATTCTGCCAGAAGGGGCTCAGCTCCTACTTTCTCAAACATGTTGGTGGAAGAGATTTTTCTCCTATAAGGTGTTTAAGGACGAATTTTATCCACTAAAAAGAGTTTGGAGGATTTGCCAACTCTGCTGATTATTGTATTTTTTTTCTCTTCCTATCCAATCCCTGCTTTTTGAATCCAGGTGGTAAGTGGATTTTTCTTTAACAGTTTTCCTGCTTTTCTTCCTAAATGTATCTTTTTCCTTGGGTTATTGTACCCTGCTTCCAGTGCTGTCCCCGGCATAGGTCCATCTCTGCAGAAGCCATTCCAGGAATACCTGGAGGCCCAGCGGCAGAAGCTTCACCACAGAAGGGAAATGGGCACACAACAGGTGAGACTTGCCTCCGTTTTCTTCTCTTCCCTACCTTCACAGTTTCAGGCTGAAATTATGTTCACAACACTCACTGGCATTTTTAGGCAAACAGAGAGAAGTTTGTTGTCAGTCTTCCTTAACTGAAGTAGAGGCTCTATCTACTTTCTCCTGGGAAAGTGTCTAAATCAGAAATGTAACTTCTGTTTTGTATCTATGTTCTCCCAAAAAACAAAGGTAGGGCTAATGGAAAATAATGGATCTGTTATGTAGAATGAGTTATTGCCTTGATCTTAAATGATTTATTAGCAAATATACTTCCCAAGTAAATTAAAAATTAAAATTTGTAGCATTCTATAGCATAAGAAAGTATTAAGACTTAGGTCACCTGAATATCTGCTTTCATTTTTGCCCAATTTTTCTTTTCAAAGATGGAAAAACAATCCTTTTTTTTTTTTTTAAATCAACTAAGGCTCTTTATATATCTGAACTTAAGAACTTAAACTAAGCCTGCCTTTTCTGTAAACAGTTCTGTGGCAAAGGAAATGACTAGAAGAGAATGAGTAAGCAGTAACCTGAAATGGGAAACTTGAAGGAAGCATACTTATTGGATTTTTTTTTCTTTTTTTTTAATGTAGGTTCCACACCTAGTGTGGAGCCTGGTGCTGGGCTTGAACTCACCACTCTGAGATCATGACCTGAGCTGAAATCAGGAGTCAGGTGTTCAACCGAGGCACGAAGGCGCCCCCATTGTTGTTTTGGGTTTTTGTTTTGTTTTGTTTTGGGGGGTTTTTTTGATGGCCTTAGATCCTTTGTGACCCTTTGTTGCCCTCAGTTGACCAAACATGACTTCAGGAAAAGATAGCATATTTTTTTTTAAAGCTGCTCTCAATTCTGGAACAAGAATACTACGTAACAATCTTGACACTACTCTCTACAAGTATCTATATGGCAACTTACAGAATCTGATCAATTTTATTCTTACGTAGTAAAAGATAAGAGGCAACGTCACACTGTAGCTCATTCTAAAGTGTGTGAATCAACATTGACTTTACATCTAGCGAAGTGAAACCTTAATAATTGGCTATAAAAAGACCAGAATGTAGACTGCAAGGTACCTAGAGACTTAAGACTTCTTGTTTTCATTTAGACTTTATGTGCTCTAAGTTCTCATAATTTTCCTTAAATATTATAAATGATTGCCTTTTTACTGCTGAATTAATGAAACATTTCTCGTGGATTGTTCTGCATTTATTCTTACAGGGAGAAAACTGGTTGTCCTGGATGTTTGAGAAGTTGGTCGTTGTAATGGTGTGTTACTTCATCCTGTCCATCATTAACTCCATGGCACAAAGTTATGCCAAACGAATGCAGCAGCGGTTGAACTCAGAGGAGAAAACTAAATAAGCAGGAAAAGGTTTTCGCGGCAGAAGTTAGAATGGATGGGTTCTGCCTTAAATTGGGAGGACTCCAAACCAGGAAGGAAAATTCCCTTTTCCAACCTGTATCAATTTAAATTTTTTTTTTCCTGAGAGCAGTTTAGTCCATATTTTGCACTGACATACTTTTCCTTTGTTTGTTAAGGTAAGGTATTCACCCTCAATTCAATCCAACTTCTATTTTATTAGGGTGGAATATGATGTTTAGCAGCAAACTTAACAGAAACTGGCCTTTTCTTTGTTACATTCAAAAGGCCAACATGGTACAATTAAAGAATTGCGGACACCAAAAAACTGTTCCAAGTATGTCGAATATGTCAAGCCATTTAGGCTTGTCAGAAATGACTCCTTTGGTTTTTTTATAAGTCATTAAAATGTATATAAATTATACTAGATTGGATAACAGTCTTGCATGTCTATCATGGTAAAATTTAATATGCCATCCTGCCCAACCCTTCCACTCCTACCTTTAAAAAAAAAGGCCATTTTATGATGCATTGCACACCCTCTTGGGAAACTGATCGTCAAATTTTGAAACAGTATGAAACAATTCTGGTTGGTGTCTCATGAATGAGCTGACACCATTTTTTTATTCTGTATATTTAGAATGAAGTCATGAACAAACTTTATAAAGACATCTTTGATCATTCCAAAATTGTGTCCGTTTTCTTGAGCGTTTTGATTTTTTGCTTTCTTTTAGCTACTACCAACTAAGGGTCAGCCTTGCCAGATCCACCTGCAACCATAATTTCTTAAGCCTTTCATTTATTTGCACGTAAGCCACCACCAAGGCATTTTTTTGTTAGGCTGGAATTGGACAGCTTGCTACACATTGCTGAGATGGCACCTTAGAGATTTGCATAGCGAGGGGGTTGTGAAAACAGGAGAAATGAAAGTGTACAGATTAAAGGGCACCAAAGAGAAATAACTCACTTTTTTTCCAAAAAACTACACTCTCTCATATCTGTGTTAATTTTAGCTCAGCATGTACTCTGGTTTTGACAAATTTATGTTTATATGTAACCTAATTTTCTTGCCTTTCTTCAGTAAATGTTACGTTCTTTTGTGAATTTCTTTTGGAAGGTTTCTGGTTGAACTTGGCCATTTTGTTTTGCTTGGGAGGAAAATAAACAATTTCACTTTTTTTTCTTTAGGAATATTGTTTCTGACATTATGTTAAGAGTAGAATTGGGTTTACATCTCAACAGGCCAGGAATGCCTGATTGTTTTATAAAATCCTGCCTGAATGTCTGCTTATTTTTGCCTACCGTCGTGACATCTCCATGGCTGTACCACCTTGTCGGGTAGCTTATCAGACTGATGTTGACTGTTGAATCTCATGGCAACAGCAGTCGATGGGCTGTCTGACATTTTGGTATCTTTCATCTGACCATCCATATCAAATATTCCCATTTAAACATCACCTAGCCTCATAGTTTATGGTCAAAAACTCTGGTCCTTATGTCTGTTGGCACTTTGAATCTTTTATGCCATGATGTTGCAGCAGTATTGAGAAGATTTTATGGAAAATCGGGATGGTCTCCATGACCATAACTAAATAAAGAAAGGACAAATAACCTGCCTTGTGGGTTCTGCAAAGGTTATTATTAACGGTCGTTTTTTTCTGCCCAGGGACCTTCTGGCAATGTGATTGTTCTTTATTTGAAAAGCAGTACCCAGATGCTCTATTTTAAATAGATTCATATTAACCAATATAAGTTTTTAGATTCGTTAGGATTAGCGTAAATTGCTAAGTCAGCTTCCAGTTGTGTTTTCATCTCTTCCACCTGCATTTTATTTGGTGTTTGAAGAAAGGAAAGAGGAAATCAAATATGAATTGTACTATCTGAACTAAATCTTTAGAGTGTATAGGTAAATTTATTTCAGGGAAGGGTATTCAAAAAAGAAAAATGTTTCTTAGACTGAGGGTCCAAGTATTTAATACATTTGACTTAGGTTGATGGTTTTTTCACTTTGTAATGAATCTGTTTGGAATACAAATGAAGAGCAGTTGTCCTCCTTCCCTCTACTAAGCATTCAGGTGTGACATGCTCCGATGGTCCTGCTGGATTCCTGCTGGAGCAGAATGTCACCCTCTGTTCCACTGGTTGGTTGGTTCCTTCCACCAAAGTGGAAACAATAACTACATGATCCCAAAGACAAACTAGTTGGTTCCAGGTGATGGGACAGCAGAAAATGTGTAAGTGGATGGTTTGATATTACTGCAAATAAAAAAAAGGGTCTGGGAATTCTAATTCCATCTACTTTGTCATTTTGTGCCTTAAATTTTCATGGTACTTTATTATGTCTCAACTCTGGAGCAGTGCAGTACGAGATAATGGACTACATCAGCAGTTTATACACTTACATACCAGGGAACATCTCCCTTCAAACAGTTTAATGCAGTGTAAGAAACTTGCTAGTGTTTGCTACACTATGTATAATCTGGAGGGTGGGGCTTGAAAGAAAGGGGGATTTTTACTTTCATCTGGATGATGGCCACCCTCATTCTCTAAAAATTGGAAAAAGATAAGGCTAAAGTTTCTGAAGTACACTAGTTCTGTATCTGCAGTAGCAAGTGTTCCTGTATAAACAAGCTCAGCCTGTTATTTACATTGCGCTGTATGCTAGCTGTAGCTTTAGCAGGACAGCATGAGGCTTGTCTTACTTTCACAACTCAACAGTGATTGCTTTGAGTACAATTAATGCATTAAACTAATTGGAATAACCGGTTGACCTTTTGTACCCAGAGGTGAACTGTGTTTTGACTGACCCATGTCTAAAGAGCTCATAGGAGTTCCCAGCCTTTTATAGTGTCAAAAAGCCATGTCTTCAGAACCATTTCCCTCCATGTGCAACAGTCTGTGTTAATGGTGGTTTACAATTATTCCTCTAGTATAGGTGACCTTGAGGAACTCTTAAACTCTGAGCCCAGATTTCATCTGTAAAAAAAAAACAGAAATAGCCAGGTTGTTCTAAGGCTTCAATAAAGATTTTTATTCATGAGCCACACAGAGAGGCAGAGAGAAACCGGCTCTATGCAGGGAGGACTCCAGAATCACACCCTGGGCCAAAGGCAGACACTCTAACTACTGAGCCACCCAGGCTGCCCCACATGGAAGAATTTTATTAGAACATCACATTTACTCCAAAAACCTGTGTTCTTATTTACTTTATGAAGTAGGCTCTTCTCCCAGCATGGGGCTCAACTCCTGACCCTGAGATGAAAGTTGCATCCTCTACAGACTAAGCCAGTCAGGCGCCCTAACATACACTTTTTTTTAAAGATTTTATTTATTCATTCATGAGAGGGGCAGAGGGAGAAGCAGGCTCCATGCAGGTATCCTGATGTGGGGCCCAATCCTGGGTCTCCAGGATCACACCCCAGGCTGCAGGCGGCACTAAACAACTGAGCCACCCGGGCTGCCCACACATTTTTAAATACTCTTAGCATGTATGCCCTTGTTATGGTGTAGATAGACTCTGAAAATGTCAAACCCAAGATACAAATTAATAGAAAAGCAGAAATTAAGGAACCAGTTGACTTGGTAAAACCAAAACCTTGTTAAATGTAAAAATAAGCCCCCAGCTAGGCAACATAAAGTACAAAGCACAGATACACAAAGTTTACTATAAAATAGTTGAAAATACTTTTCTAACATTAGCACCTTAAAATGTTGGTTTCCTAATTTATTTTTAAAAGGACATTAGTACTAAAAAAGTCGAAGGTAGGGCAGCCCGGGTGGCTCAGCGGTTTAGCGCCGCCTTCAGCCCAGGTCGTGATCCTGGAGACCCGGGATCCAGTCCCACGTCGGGCTCCCTGCATGGAGCCTGCGTCTCCCTCTCCCTGTGTCTCTGCCTCTCTCTCTCAGTCCTCTCTGTGTGTTCTCATGAATAAATAAATAAAATCTTTAAAAAAATAAAAAATAAATAAAGTCGAAGGTAGAGGAAAAATAAAATATCCACTTTTAATACCTGGTTAGAAACACCTCAACTTGGGATGCCGTGGTGGCTCAGCAGTTTAGGGCCTGCCTTCAGCCCAGGGCATGATTCTGGAGTCCTGGGATTGAGTCCCATGTTGGGCTCCTTGCAGGGAGCCTGCATCTGTCTCTGCCTCTGTCTCTCATGAATAAAATAAAATCTTAAAAAAAAAAAAAACTTCATCTAGAATATCCAATGAGGTTTGATGGGTATAAATAGTTAAAACAGTTAAGAAAAAAAAGTTGTCAGGCAAGACCTTCCTCAATAGATGTAAAAGTTTTATTTTTTTTAGAAAAACAAAAAATTTGGTTTATTTTATTCATAGTTATTTAATGTGCTTACAAAAAGTTAAAACAACTTAAGCGGGAATTTGGGATTTGGGTTTAAGTAGGCTCCACATCCAATGTGGGGCTCGAACTCACAACCCCTAGATCAGGAGTCGCATGCTTTACTGACTGAGCCAGCCAGACCCCTCAAAGCAAGAGTTTAATAGCCATTTGTGAAAGCCAAAAAACATTCCATTTGTAACTGACATTGATCAAAGCTTCTCTGGTATTCATAAAACATGGTAAGTGAAATGCTAAGCAAAACTGTTGCATCTGAAATGTTTGTTCCTTTATTTTCAAAGACAATGAGAAGAAAGCACATAATGTACTTGAAAATTCTAAAATCAATTGAGTCATTTGTGTCTGGTAGTCAGGGGATTAGATTCCTGCCCTTTCCAGCAAGGCCAGGAGTTCACCTGAGGTAATGCATTTCCTTGGGCGTGAGGCCTTGAATTGCAGCAAATAACCTACATGTATTTGCATATTTAACCAGTACTCATAAAAGAGATTGTAATAAAAACCTGTTCTGGACAGCTGCTTACTCATTGCCTTTAGAATTGCGTGGTACTGGGATAGGCAGGTGCCAACTGTTTGCTCATTCTCTTTGACCTACTAGCCTTGCACAGTTTGCTGTGTGGGTGTTGATACTACTAAATTAAAAGAAAAACTTTATTTTAGATGGCCCCCACTCTCCACCCAAACACCCTGGATTCATTTGAGATTTGGGATTCTAATTCTGTGTAGTTGGGAGACCGGCCCAAACTGTGGCCCAGCGTGAGTCAGTTGTAAGTGGCTGGCTGACTCTATGGGAACAGAAACGAAATGCAGCTTAGACGGTTTGTCAGCCAAATCCACAAATGTGTGGCTTTTTGAAACATTGGACATCTGTTCCTTTAATTTAAAATAAACTTTTTTAAAAAGCACAAAGTTGCTTGGCTCCTTGTTTCCTTGTGTCAGCAGCAGTTGCTGCTCTAACTTAGGAAGCCTAGAATCAGAAAATTTGTTGGAGTCTTTAGGGCAAAGATTCAGAGAGAATGGAACAGAATTGCTTTGGGAGGGGAGGAGATGATTTTACAGGATAGAGTCTGGAAATCCCCTTCGTGGGTAATCAGCCCAGGTGTTCAACCCGTTTGTTAACTATTTCCAAATGACTCAAAGGACAGAGGGAGGGCTTGGACACACTCCAGCAGTATTTCTACAATGTAGTCTTTATTTGCGTTGGAAACCACATTCCTGAATTCTTGAGGGGAAGGCTTATTCTGGGCATCTAAGAGGGACCTCAAGCCATCTATCTCAGCTAACAGTTACTGTCTTCTTTTGAGAGTTTCCAGGGGGTAAGTGCAACTTGACTTGATACCCTTCTACCTAAAGGCCTCAGGAGAGGCCTTGTTCTCAGAAGGAAGGCTTTGTATGCCACACGTCTCTCCCCACCTTATCCTAAATGTGCCATTTCCCTTTGTTGCTATGAATCCCTTTTAGGGGGTTAGAGTATGAGCAGCTTTTTCCTTCAGGCGCTTTTGACTGACCAACCCGACAGCATTGCTTAATTGTGTGTGTCCCAGCCTGTTTCCGATGGGAAAAAGAAAATCTATTTCTGTGGCTTAAGGCAGTTTGAGATTTGAAGAGAGATGCTTCTGCCTTTCCCTGAAGGTGGGAAATGACTGTTCAGATTAGTCTTGTCCTTCTTTGGCCACCATGCTGTGTTGGAAACAAAGAGCTCAGGTTCTCAGCAGTAGTACAGAAGCCAAGTGCACCAGTCACCCCAAGAACTATGTTGTTCTCAACCTCTTTACATTAGTTAAAAGAAGGCTGGGGCGGGGCGCCTGAGTGGCTCAGTGGTTGAGCGTCTGCCTTTGGCTCTGGTCATGATCCCAGGGTCCTGGGATCAAGTCCCACATCAGGCTCCCCATGGGGAGCCTGCCTCTGCCTCTCTGTGTCTCTCATGAATAAGTAAATAAAATATTTTTTAAAAAAATATGAAAGCTGGAAATCCCTGGGTGGCTCAGTGGTTAAGCATCTGCCTTTGGCCCAGGGCATGGTCCTAGAGTCCTGGGATCGAGTCCCACGTTGGGCTCCCTGCATGGAGCCAGCCTGCTTTTCCCTCTGCCTGTGTCTCTGCCTCTCTCTCTGTGTGTGTCTCTCATGAATAAATAAAAAAAAAATCTTTAATAAATAAAATATGAAAGGTAAAAATGAGAGGATGCCTTTCATTTTTTAATGCACCTCCAAGCCTCTTGAGAGGTCCTTTCACTTGAGTGACAGGCCTAAACCTCTGACAAGCACCAAACTTTCTCTGCCTCACCTCACAGTGGCCAGGCTCTTGAGGCTCTTCAGATACTTCTGCTCCATTCTGACCATCGTATCAGCCCCTCTCCACTCCCATGGCCCTTCTATGGTATATTTCTTTGTGCATAACCATGTAACACCAGCAATCAAGATTAGCTCCTAGAAACCTCCCCCGATGTGCCCTTTACCAGGAAGTACAGTGGATTACTGTAACTGTGATAATGATTGTTTGCTTACTTTGTACCAGGCGCTGTTTTCAGTGCTGTTTGGTATTGTTGAACATTAAAATCCATACAATGACCCCTGAGAAAATTAAGGTAGAGAAGTTTAGTAGTTTGGTGTAGGAAGGAAGGATGCAGGAAAAGGATTCAAACCTAAGCATTCTGGCTCTTAAACATTCAGTTCTACAGAAAAGTCCAGGACAGAAGTCCAAGCTTGTTTGTTGTCTACATACTTGTTTCATCTTGTAATCACAGGCAATGGAGAAAGAGACAACAGAAAATCAAGCCCAGAGCCTTAAAAGTTTTGCTATTTAAATAGATGAGCAGTCTTTGTGCTTCCTTATATCACAAGGTTGGAAAAGCCGTCTCCATTCTTAGCCATCCTGTGTGGGCAGGTTCCCAGTCCGGCGTTTGCTGTAATTATGATTACAAAGCAATTTCTATTTGTATAGACCTTTTTTCCTCTTTCAAAGCACTTTCACACGTTAAATTTTACTTGATCTTCATAACCCTATGAAATATTTAGAGCTAAAGTGGCATTAGCCACATTGGGGCAGGTGGGGATGGGGGGGGCATTTTTAAATTCACTTTTTAAATTTCTATGGGTTTAAGGTACTGTGGGAAAGAGACAATGCTAATGACAATCTTCTCCCTCTAGGAGCTCGGAGTCTTCTTAGAGGTAATAATACATATATGCAGGTAACTACAATGTAAGGTGAAGTCTGGCTAAGAAAAGAACTGGGGAGGGCAACCCCAGTGGCTGGTGGCTCAGTGATTTAGCACCGCCTTCAGCCTAAGGTGTGATCCTGGTGCCCCGGGATCAAGTCGGCTTCTCCCTCTGCCTGTGTCTCTGCCTCTCTCTCTCTCTCTCTGTCTCTCATGAATAAATAAAATCTTAAAAAAAAAAAACTGAGGAGAGGATGAAAATGGCTGACTGGGAAGGATCAGGAAAGGTTTCATGAGGATGTGGTATTTGAATTGCCAGCTAGAGTAGGGAAAGGGAAGGTAGTTCAACCAGAGAAAGCCTTCTGAGACAGCAGGAAAGCACAAGTGGGAGAGCTCTGTGTTTGGTGGGGAGAAGAGAGCCACCTAAAGTCAGTCCACCCGCCCGTTATTCTTAGCCACATTTTGTATCCTTTAAAGCACCTGCATAACTCACAAGTAGTTTATCTGTTTTCCAGTTTTTGCTCTTCCTCCACTAGAACATAAGCCCTGTAAGGGCAGGCACCGTCGTGCTCTCCATTGTTCACCGTTGGCCTGGCACTTGGTAAGCTCACAGTGTTTGCTGCATGAATGTTGCAGTGGTCTAGGTGAAATTGCAGTGGAGAAGCAGACAGGGGAGGCTACCTGAGTCGACATACCAGGTTACTAGGCGAGGCCAGAGTAAAGGAGGTGAAGAAGTCAAGAAGGAACCTGAGAAGACAACAGTGCTGATCCATCACCAAGCCAGGAATACAGGAGGAGGTGCAAGTTTGAGAGACAGAAATGATGGTCTGTTCCAAACATGCAGAGGGAAGGTACTGCCCAGCATGGGTCTGTATCTCAAGGTTTCTTTTTTCTTTTTTTTTAAGATTTTATTCATTTATTCATGAGAGACAGAGCGAGGCAGAGACACAGGCAGAAGGAGAAGCAGGCTTCCTGTGAGGAGCTTGATGTGGAACTTGATCCCAAGAGTCCAGGATCATGACCTGAGCCAAAGGCAGACATTCAACCACTGGGCCACCCAGGTGCCCCTATCTCAGGATTTCTAACTCCTAAACAGGTGAGTTTGCTATCCATTATACCTCTTTGTGACTTGTCAGAGAATAAACTGGAATTCTTTTTTCAGAGAATTCTCTAGAGTAATATGTCCCTTATACTTTCCCGTAAGTGATCATCTAAGCCTTATTGTTGTTATGTAGCACTGTTCTTGAAAAGATGGCATTGTAACCAGACCTCGGGGCCACAGGAAACTGCTTTAAAATTCCTCACCCCAGTTGTATCCTGCTTGCTTAATGAATGGTTCCTCCCTATGAAAACTGGGAGGATGCTAGTTCCTGGATAGATTGTCTTTATAAGGAGAAAAGTTTGGCAATGTGATTTCCTGTATATTTCTACTGGAGTCCAAGATTCCAGGAGTGCTAGCCTAGACAGCAGTGGCAGCCACCTAGAGCCCAGATGTCATGAGTATTCCCAAGAAAGTATGAGGGCATCCTCCCAACTGCCTTTGCCAAGCCAAAAGGCAGAATCATGGCTTTATTACACCTTCTAGAGCATGTGGTCAAGGCGGCTTTCCATTTGGCTGCTTTGGTGCTGGGGTTGTTTACATGTTTCAATAAATTAGTTACGCTTATTGAAGTTGGCTGGCTAGGAGTTCAGAATAAATGACATATGACCACAATTACACCACTCACCAGGAGCGGGAGAGTTCAGAAGAAGAGATCTACTTGTGTATGATCCTTTGGTGGAGAAGAGAGGTACAAAACTTGAGTATTCCAATCTTAGGTGGGTGTGCAGTTTTTGAAGCCTGGGAGAATTGGGGTGTCACTGTTCCTGGCTTTCTGATGGTATCAGACATAATGAGATGCAATCTAGTAAAAGCATGTATGTAGGAGTGCTTTGCACAATTTCAGAAGAGAAAAAGGAAGCTGAAAATAGTGGTTTTAGAAAAATGTAGAGCCTCTAGTCAAAGAAATTTTCTGATGCTCTACATATCCTTCTTCAAACATAATCCATTGGAACATAAAAGACATCCCTGTTCTCTGCAAGGAGGAAGTAAAAAGTTCTTTCATACAGAGGTGCCTGGCTGGCTCCGGTCAGTAGAGCATCTTTTGATCTTGGGGTTGTGATTTCAAACACCATGTTGGGTGTAGAAATTACTTTTAAAGACAAAAAAAAGTCTCGGGGCACCTGGTTAGGCTCAGTCTGTTAAGCATCTGCCTTCAAGTCAGGTCATGATCTAGGGGTCCTGGGATCGAACCCCGTGTTGGGCTCCCTGAGAGCCTGCTTCTCCCTCTGCTTCTTCCCTTGCTTGTGCTTATGCTCTGTTGAATAAATAAAATCTTAAAGACCAAAAATGTCTCAAGAAACAACGTAAGGGGTGTCTAGCTGTAAGTGGAGCATGTGACTCTTGATTTCAGGGTTGTGGGTTCAAGCCCACTTGGATACAGTGATTACTTAAAATTTTTTAAAAATTAGGGCAGCCCAGGTGGCTTAGCGGTTTAGCGCCGCCTTTGGCCCGGGATGTGATCCTGGAGACCTGGGATAGAGTTCCGCGTCAGGCTCCCTGCATGGAGCCTGCTTCTCCCTCTGCCTCTCTCTCTCTCTCTCTCAAACAAATAAATTAAAAAAAAAATTTTTTTAATTGTAAAAAGTTCTTTCATATACAAAAGCTACCCTACATTTTAGGGTGCTTTTTAGGCTACTCCCAGACTGTGTGTGTATGTGAGATATACTTACTAGTCTTCCCTGCAATAGGCAGTGTGTTCATTAGAAGGACATGTTGATATAGTAGGACTCCAAAGTTAGTCCTTCATTTCCCCCTTCCTCCTGTTTGTTCCCTAAACATACATGGAGCATCCTGTAATTTCTACACCTATTTATGTGATAGTTAACAGAACAATGATGCTGCTTACTACTTCCACTGCTTGTTACTGCCTTCTGATTCGTTTAACATATTCCTCCATTCTTCAAACTGTCTCCAGTTGTTAATACCCTTTTAAAAATCATTTGGATTATTTTATCTTTACACTTTTTTTTAAGATTTATTTTTTATTATTTATTCATACAGAGAGACACAGAGAGAGGCAGAGACCTAGGCAGAGGGAGAAGTAGGCTTCCCACAGGGAGCCCGATGTGGGACTCGATCCCCAATCCCAGGATCATACCCTGAGCTGAAGGCAGATGCTCAACCCATGAGCCACCCAAGCGTTCCCTTTACAATGGGTTTTTATTTTTTATTTTTTTTTAAAAGATTTTATTTATTTATTCATGAGAGACACAGAGAGAGAGAGAGAGGCAGAGACACAGGCAGAGGGAGAAGCAGGCTCCACGCAGGGAACCCGATGTGGGACTCGATCCCAGGTCTCCAGGATCACACCCTGGGCTGAAGGCGGCGCTAAACCGCTGAGCCACCAGGGCTGCCCTACACTGGGTTTTTTAAAGCTTTGTTTAAAATAAAAATATGCTGGGTGCCTGGGTGGCTTAGTTGCAAGAGCATGCGACTCTTGATCTCATGGTCATGAGTTTGAGCCCTACACTGAGCAAAGAGTTTACTTAAAAAATATATATTTATATGCAGAAGAAATGCACAATATAAAAAGGAAATCTTCTGAGACTAGTACTCCCCCAGAGAAATTACTATGATATTTAATATGTATCCTTTCAAAAATGCTCTGAGCTCCCCCCATTTTTCTTGGTTTTGGGGGCCTGGGAGAAGGGGCAAAGCAGGGGCAGCCAGGATCACTGGGTCACCTCTCAGTATCTTCAGGTTAGTGATAGACCGCTCCATCCCTGTCTGAACAAAATTAAACAGAACCATACAGACAAATCTGTGTGGTTTTCATAACATTTAACAGCCATTTCTGTTTGTCTTGGCTACTGAAGCATAAGTAAAGGGAACAGTGGGAGTGGCCAAACTAGAAGTCTTGGAATTCCGGGACCAGGAGTTTAGATTTTAGGCAAGGACTTACAAAGGCATTTCTTCATTCTCAATATATTGAGTTTATATTGTCTTAAGTGGGTCTTTTGTATAAGATGGCTCAGAGACAAAAAAATGAAGATTTTATTTATGGGGCACCTGGGTGGTTCAGTTAAGCGTCTGCCTTCTGCTCAGGTCATGATCTCAGGGTCCTGGGATGGAGCCCCGCATCAGGCTCCCTGCTCAGGGGAGAGCCTGGTTCTCTGACAGAGCAAGAGAGAATGGGAGAGAGAGAGAGAGAATGAGGGTAGAAGAGGCAGAGGGGCTTGATCCCAGGACCCTGGGATCAGGCGCTGAGCTGAAGGCAGATGCTTAACCAACTGAGCCACCCAGGCAACCCAAGGCAGTGTTTTTTAGACATTTATATTAATCTATAATCTCTACTATGAACCAGATATATGCTTTGCAGCAAAGAATTTACCAAATGGTGAACTCCTTAAGGACAGAGGCCAGGTTTAACTTTTTTTTTTTTTTAAGATTTTATTTATTCATGAGAGAGAGAGAGAGGCAGAGACACAGGCAGAGGGAGAAGCAGGCTCCATGCGGGGAGCCCTACATGGGACTTGATCCTGGGTCTCCAGGATTAGACCCTGGGCCGAAGGCAGGCGCCAAACCGCTGAGCCACCCAGGGATCCCCTAACTCATTTTTTAAATCTGCCTATCCTGGCACTGTCTCTCCTTACAGGTGATTAATGGATGTTTGTTGAATTAAGCTCACATCCTGCCTTCTTCATAC